GAACTGAGGTGCCGAGGACAGCCAGTCGAGACAGTCCCGCAGTCTGCAGCAGTCTCACAGCCAGCTGCAGTCTCACAGTCCGCTGTCTCGCAGTCCGCTGTCTCGCAGTCCGCTGTCTCGCAGTCTGCAGTCCCAGCAGTCCGAGAGTCAGCAGGCCCGGTGTCGGGAGAGACAACCATAGGACAGGTTTTGCACCTGACATCCTTCGATCCACCAGAGCCCGAGCTGGATCTTCATGATGATGTGTTTGCTCCGTCGGCCCCGGATGCAACCCCTGGTGGCTATGGAGGTGCAGACAGAGCAGGTAGGAACATGGGCAAGCGTAGTCTAGCAGATTCAGATTCACTGTGTGTGTTCAGCAGCATCTCCCATGGCACAGGTGCAGAACAGGCTTTGTTGGGCATGCGGTCCAGCTCTCCTCCAACCCGGCTTCTGGATTGGGAGTATTTCCAGTGGCATCTCAGGATTCTCATTTCAAGATATGCACAGTCATGTTCTTGAACACTTGCTTGCGTATGTGATTTGTATCATTGTGTGTAATGAGGAATGGATCCACTCCCACGCAGATTCCGAAAGTGGATCCTTCTTTCCAGTTCAAGTGGATCTCCATGGTCTTGCAGAAGGAAACCCAGTGGGGCCCGATAGAATTGGACCAGAACATGCTCCAGACTGCTATGCGCTGTTTTTTGTATGCAAATATGAGTCTGTTGATCATATCATGTCATTGTCAATTTCTGCTTGGAATCTGAGGTAAGACGGCATTGACCCTGTTCCCGACAGTCCTGCAGTCTTACAGTCCAAGCACAAAGCCTTCGGACATGAGGGAGGAGTGCAGCTTGTCAAGTCGAGTTGCTGTTTGCTCTCTGTCGAAGTCCAACTGGCAGTTAGATCTAAGGTATGATCGAGTTCCTCTCGCACGAGATGCAGCGTGCCAAGTTCAACATGTGGCTGGATGTGGCTTGTCACAAGAATACATGTTAGAGACTGTGAATGGAGAGACTGTGTGACTGAGGAATGGAGAGACTGTGTGACTGAGGATATTTTGGAAAGCAACATCCCGTGCACTTCGGCCATTGTCTACCACTGGTGCCAGCACGGCTTTGAGGGGTTCGGCCAATCCAGAGGTGCCACAGACTATCTGTACCCGAAGGGCCTGGATTTCAGTCTTACCAAGCATGTGCCTTCCATGATGTTATATGAGACGATTGTTGTGTTGGTTGTTGTGAGCGCTCATCACTTAGTGGCAAGATCTTTCCATCTAAGGTGGATGACACTATCCTCATCCTTCGTGATGCTATGATTTTGGTGGGTGCTCTTGCACCCAGGGGACCTGATGGCAATGGAACTCTCGGTCGATCAGGCACACAGTCCACAGGCCCCCAGTCGTCAGTCACAATGCCTATGCCAAGACAGGACGAGTGCTGAAACTACACCATTGTGTGTTACTGCACTGCTGGTGATATGTATTTTGTTTCTTGCCCTCTGTGAGGAGACCCCAGTCCACTTTCTCAACAGGTGGTTCGGATCCTGCTGGGACTCGTACAAGGCCCCTTTTGGCTGGTCATTGGAGATGGAGCGCCAGGAGTTCATCAATGGCAACTTCAGGGTGGTCAAGGCCATGAAAGACCCCTTCAGTGACTTGTTTCAGTTAGTCGGAGGAGAGATGTGCTGTGTTTGTATCAAACTATATTTGTCACTGGTGTTTTCCTGAGGTCCCACGGACTTGTTTACGCAAGATGACTGTTTCAGCTTCTGGACGCCTGTCAAGGGGCATTTCGTTTGGGTATTCTACAGACAGCCGATCCAAGACGGGGAAGCCTTCCAAGTGCCGTCGATTTTCTTTTGGAAAATCTTGCAGCTGCTTGACAGAAAAGATACATGACAGTTGTGTAGTTTGATGCTGTGCAATTGTGATCAGACATGACATCTTGGTTCGAATTTCTGAGGCAGCAGGTCGACGGCCACTTCAAGTACTCAGGCAGCAACTACATCTGGAGCCCGACAAATTCAGCTGAAACTTGGTACAACATTTAATTGTTTCCCCTATCTCCCCACAACCAAACAAAATGAATACAAGTCATGCGTGTAACTCAGTGATGCATCCCAGGATGAGTTCAAGATCGAGCGGGCAGAGAAGCAGGTCCTCAGGCCCAACTGGATGATCACAGCTATCCCCGGTGTGCAAAAGAGCTTCATGTGCCCCAGACCAACAGTCCTGCAGTCCTGCAGTCCTTCAGTCTTGATTTTTGGTATGTGTTTGTGCAAGCTGAGGCAAGTCACAAAGTGGGAGCTGGACCGCATGGCTGTGGTGACTCCCAAACATGATCCTGTACGCCGTGCTTTTCTGCTGGAGATGTAGCTTGCTTGCAGCAGTTTGTCACACATGCATGTGTTTTGTGTTTTACTGCTTACTGTTTTGCTGCTTACTCAGGAGCCACGAGCCGTCATTCCACTCACGCGTTTCTCCGAAGCTGACTCTTGTCAAGTTGGATCCGGAAAAGATCCCGGAAAACCTGATGCAGTGTGTGCGGTATGCCCAGTGATGTGGCACTGTCCTACAGGCTTACAGTCCTGCAGTCTTTACTGATGTCATCATATACAGCAGTCATCTTAGACTCAACTGCTTGCACGGACTGTGGGACTTGTGGCCTGTATTAGGATCTTCCTGCACAGATGGTCACTGTGCCCTTTTTCTTTCTCGTACATGAGACATGACTCTGTGTGTTCGAGATTGACCCCATGACTAAAAGCAGAGGGCTGCCCAGTCCTGCAGTCGTACAGGCCTACAGTTTGATTAACTTAATATACTTAGCACAGTTTCAGGCTGGGTGCCCGACTAATTTTACTTGATTCTGGATGCTGCCATGCTGCACTGAAAAAGTGCCCTCGCACATAGAAACCCTAAACCCTAATTACTAAACTCTAAACCTAAAACCCCTGAATCCCCAATCCCCTCAATCCCCTAGAGCGTGTTCGCCCTCGCACATAGAAACCCTAAACCCTAAATCCTAAACCCAAACCTTCAGCCTGGCAGGCTCTGCCCAGCTGCGCTGCTGTGGCCTCTTCGAGGCCACAGCAGGAGGGTTTAAATTATTTTCGGGATTTAGGGTTAGTGAGGTTTAGTAGGGTTTAGAGTTTCATTTGGGTTTAGGGTTTAGGGTTCACATTCCATGCTTTCCGGATTGACTCTGTAGGGTGTGGTTGGGGATTCGGATATAAATACCATTTCAAGATTCGAGAGTTTGGGGTTTGGGGGTTTAGAATTCAGGTATAGTAGGCCCCATAATGTTGAAAACCAGTGGCCACATAGTGCTGGGATTCCCATACCCTACTTACTTGTTAAGGATTGATGCTTTGGGGTTCCCTGATTCTCGACTATTAAATACTAACTAGCTAATACTTTTTATTGAATACTTGACACTGGCTGATATTGTTACACACCAGCACAAACTGTGTACACAGGTGATCAGAAGGCTTACCTCTACCATTGATGTCTTCACTTCTGAAGTGATACCACGGGCCAAGACCTGTGCAGAAATGCACCCAGAAGATCAGAAGCTTTACCTCATGCATCAGCGCAAACCGTGTTTGCAGATCTGAAGACTTACCTTTACCATTCATTGATGTCTGCGCATCCGAGGCCAAGCTGCCCCAGAAGATCAGAAGCTTTACCTGATGTATCAGCGCAAACCACCACCACCACCACCACCACCAGGACTACTACTACGACTACTAGTCCTACTGTTACTACTACTAGTAGTCGTACTACTACTAGTTACTACTATTTCGGAGGGGCAGGAGCTTAAAAGAGAACCCTGCCATTGAAACCCTAAACCCTACTAGACCCTAAAAAACCCTAATCCCTAAACCCGACATTCTAAACCCTAACCAGGCTGTGGCCCCCCACGCCGGCGGCTGCCGGCTGGTGGGAAGAGGCAGTGCCTGATTTCAGTTTTAGGGTTTAGATTTTATAGGTTTTGGGTTTAGAATTTAGGGGTTCCGGATTTAGGGTGTTAGGGCTCGGGGGCAGAGGTTTAGTAGTGTTCAGTTTCAGGTTTAGGATTTAGAGTTTATAGGTTTGGGGTTTAGAATTTAGGGGTTCCGGATTAAGGGTGTTAGGGCTCAGGGTCAGACATTTAGTAGTGTTTAGTTTCAGGTTTAGCATATAGTGTTATAGTGAGTGGTTTTTAGGTATAGAATTCAGGGGTTCCGGATTTAGGGTTTTAGGGCTCGGGGTCACAGGTTTAGTAGTGTTTAGTTTCGGGTCTAGGGTTTAGAGTTTACAGGTTTTGGGTTTGGAATTTAAGGGTTCCGGATTTAGGGTTATAGGGCTCGGGGTCAGAGGTTTAGTAGTTTAGTGTTTCAGTTTCAGATTTAGGATTTAGAGTTGATAGGTTTTGGGTTTAGAACTTAGGGGTTCCGGATTTAGGGTTATAGGGCTCGGGGTCAGAGGTATTTAGTAGTTTAGTGTTTCAGTTTCAGATTTAGGATTTAGAGTTTATAGGTTTTAGGTTTAGAATTTAGGGGTTCTGGATTAAGGGTTTTAGGGCTCGGGGTCAGGGGTCTAGTAGTGTTTAGGGTTTGTAGCACTTAGTCCTTATAGGGTTTAGGGTTGAAGATTTGGGTGTTTTAGGTTTAGGGAATCAGGGTTTTTAGGGATCAGAGAGTTAGTTTTCTGCAGAGTTTTGCAATCCCTAAGACCTTAACACCCTAAGCCCTAACATTAGGTTAATGTCATTAGACTGAAGCCAGACTGAGTAGCTGAATTTTTGGGATAATAGTGCCCACTATAAATCTCCACTCAGCAACTAAGCAGAGGCTCAACTTCTCCCACAGTCCCACAGTCCTGCAGTCCTGAAATCATGCCCTTTGTAATCCACATCATCAGACTAAGAATAAGTGACAGCCACATTGGCACCGGTGGGAAGACCGGTTTTACTGGTGGAAAACAGCTCTGAGAGCTTGGTGGGAGAAGAACCACGCACTGGACGATCGCTCAGATGGACGCACCAGTGGTGCCAGTGGCGACGATCGCAATGACTTGGCTCCTGTGTGGGTTTCCAACCCCGGGAAGCCCTACAACGACCATTACTGCGGCCTGGTCGGCACAACTCGCAGGTGCATATGGCATTGCTAACCAGTGCGCTTGACATCATCGACATCGAGCTGGTCAGGGTGTAGTAATTATAATAGTTCCACAGTTTATTAATCATATGCCTGCAGACCATTAGTGAACCAGGAGTTGATTGGCAATTGAATTTTAGGACATTGTAGATATGATTGCAATTCGTCATATTAGAAGCACTCTTGTGCACCTGGTTAGGGTTTGGACCTCTAATCCAAGCTCCTCATAGGATAACAAACACTTAAACCCTAAAACCTCGAAAACACACCATACATAAGAAACACTGCCTAGCCCTAGAAGCTTTAAACTTCAACACAGAGGCTCTATCTGAAGCTTCTGGGTTATATACTTCTAAGAGATTTTAGGACAATGCTGGCAATCAGATCTGATCTCAATTACAGCTAGGGGTGGTAGATTTTATAGTATCTCGATCTACTTGACATTGACAAGTGCTAAGATCTTGAATGACGCCCCCACCACTACCACCCCGAAGGCCTCTGGGATTTCAGCTTCTGATGAGAATACTTCAACCCTAAACCCCAAACCCTTTTGGAACTGGCCAACCCCAAACCCTAAACCCTAAAAAGCGCACCTGAAACTCTAAACCCTGAGCCCTAAAGCCTCTAACCCTAAGCCCCCATTCGCAATTTGATGAAGCCAGTCCCCAGCCCATAGTAATTATTATAGATCTAGGGTTTTGTAGTTCAGAGATTGATTGGGCAGTAGGGTTTAGGAATTGAGATTGGTCAGGTATGTAATTAAAATATCATCCCCAAACCCTGATTTTACAACCCCAATTACTTACTAATACCTGTACCCACCTTTTGCACAGGTGGTGGCAGCACTCCTTCGTGCAGAGGTGGGTTCCTTATTATTTATTAATAATAAGTAGGATTTAGGGTTTAGGGTTTAGGGGGCTTCAGCCTTTTGAAGGCTTAGGATTCAGCCAAAGAGTAGCATGTATTGTCTCAATTCAAAATTATAATAATATCATTAAGTAGAATACTTGAAGTCTAGAAGACAAGAGTGTGGGGTTTATGGTTAGGTAAAGATTCAATTGACAATCTGTCCAATAAGACCAAGAATAAGAATAGAGACAGACTTGTAGGGTTTAGGTTCAGGGTTTAATGAGTTTAAAGTTTTAAAAGGTTTTGGGTTTAGGGTTTAGGATGATAGATAATGGGGCACATATTTGAGAATCAGAGTTGGGTAAGGTCAAGAGTTCACAAAACTGTTGGGATATCAGTGTGTGTGCCAGGGTTTAGAGCTTGGTAGAGAGTAGTAGGGCTTAGGGTTTAGGGTTTTAGACTAGTAGAGTTTGTCAGGTTCAGGAATTATACACAGGCCAGTTTTGGTTTACTTTTGACTGAATCAGGTCGTGGGGGCCATCTGCATGCAACATCGACAATACAGCCTGTGCCTCAATGTCTAAGCTGCCAAGCTCAAGTCTCATATCTGTGGCGTTTACAAAAAAATATTGATTGAGGTATTGTGTATCTAGCTGAATCTGGCTCATGCAGAAATCCCGCTGTCCTGAGGTCTGTTGGACTGCGGGACTGTCGCAGCCTGGGCCTTGGTGGCTGCACTTTTAGGGGTTTAGTTTAGGGTTCCAGGTTCAGAAGCCATGACGAGAGTGGAGGTTTTTTCAGGGCAGTCACACAGTCCTGCAGGCACACGGTCCTGCAGGCACACAGTCATGCAGGCACACAGTCATGCAGGCACACAGTCATGCAGGCATACAGTCCTGCAGGCAGACAGTCATGCAGGCACACAGTCATGCAGGCACACAGTCATGCAGGCACACAGTCCTGCAGGCACGCAGTCATGCAGGCACATGGTACAGTCCCACAGTCCCACAGGTCAGAGCTTTGCAGAGCTCTGCAATCATGCAACCCCACATGACATGTCCCTTAAGGATACAGCCTGCCCCCTCGTAATGATACGGTTTAGAGTTGATACTCACACTCATTGTCACTGCCTGTCGGATCAAGCCCACGGCCAGTTAAATTCAGAATTAGTTCACTGTGCTGCAAGACTGCAAGACTGGCAAACTGGGCCAGGGGCCCCAGCGCTTTTCGGGATGTCGTCGGGAGATTTCCCTTCACAGAATTTGTCAGGAGCTTTGAGCTATTTTTCGAGATTGAATTTGTCAGGAGCTTTGCCATAAAGGGGGTTTGGGCTTTCGGAACCAATTATTAATTGAAACTTTCTTTCGAGGGCCAGAGCTTGGTATATTGTGTCGACTCTAAAACCTTAAAGCTTGACTAAGCACCAAATAGCATACAAGTTTAATCTCTGTTTGTTTACAGGTGAAAGAAGACTGGAGCACTTATAGCAGTTAACATACACCCAGAGGTGTCCTACCCTTTAAATATTCTAAACCCCAGACCCAATAACAAAATAAATGCAAAGTGTTTGTATAGTAGACTTTGGATAGGATTGGACTTCTTTCAGGCTAGGGTTGTGGTGGCAGCCAGCACACTTTGCTTGATCTTCAGAGTACAGTATTTACTTTAAATACATAAGGGTTCAGGGGTTTACATGAAGCAAATCTGAAACTCCAAGACCTGTGATTGTGACCCTGCCAGCCTGAAAGCCCACAGTCTAATGAACTCTAAGCCTTCAAATGTTAAATTTAAAAACCTAAATTAACCCCGGCCCAACGAACTCTAAATATATACCCTGAGACCCCACCTCCAAGTCTTTATCTAAATCCTGCCTGCTGAAAAGGTACATTTTCGGCAATCCTACATACTGTCTTGGACAGCTTCGACCAGCACTTCAAAGGTGCGCTTTTGCAGCAACAGGCAGGCTCTGCAATCTGCAGTCCCACAGTCTAGCAGTCCACTTTAGCCCGAAACCTTGAACCCCTAAACTCCAAGTCCCTAAGACCCTGCCAACAGGCACATTTGGGCAGTCCTACATACTGTCTTGGACAGCTTCGACGAGCACTTCAAAGGTGCACTTGCTGCAACAGCCAGGCTCTGCAATCTGCAGTCCCACAGTCTGGCAGTCCCACAGTCTGGCAGTCCACTTTCAGCCCAGGTCTTGCATCCCTAAACCCCAAAAGTCCCTAAACCCTGCCAACAGGTACATCTTCGACGGCTTCGGCGAGGACTTCAAAGGTGCGCTTGCTCTAACAGGCAGGCAATCTGCAGTCCCACAGTCTGCCAGTCCACAGTCTGCCAGTCCCACAGTCTGGCAGTCCATTTTAACCCCAGGTCTTGCATCCCTAAACCCCAAAGTCCCTAAACCCTGCCAACAGGTACATCTTCGACGGCTTTTCAGTGAGGACTTCAAAGGTGCGCTTGCTCTAACAGGCAGGCAATCTGCAGTCCCACAGTCTGCCAGTCCACAGTCTGCCAGTCCCACAGTCTGGCAGTCCATTTTAACCCCAGGTCTTGCATCCCTAAACCCCAAAGTCCCTAAACCCTGCCAACAGGTACATCTTGGACGGCTTCGAGGAGGACTTCAAAGGTGCACTTGCTCTAACAGGCAGGCAATCTGCAGTCCCACAGTCTGGCAGTCCTGCAGTCTGTCAGTCCCACAGTCTGGCAGTCCCACAGTCTGCCAGTCCACTTTAGCCCCAAACCTTGAACCCCTAAATCCCAAAGTCCCTAAACAGTCCTACATACATCTTGGACAACTTCGACTAGTACTTCAAAGGTGCACTTTCAGCAACAGCCGGGGTCTGCACTCCACATTCCCACAGTCTGGCAGTCCACTTTAGCCCTAAACCCCAAAGTCCCTAAACCCTGCCAACAGGTACTTTTTCGAAGTCCTACATACTGTCTGGGACGGCCTCGACTGGCACTTCAAAGGTGCACTTTTTGCAACAGCCAGTCTCTGCAATCCACAGTTGTACAGTCTGGCAGTCCCGCAGCTTGGCAGTCCACTTCAACCTGCAGCCTTGCATCCCTAAACTCCAAAGTCCCTAACCCTTGCCAAGAGGTACTTTTGGGCAGTCCTACATACTCTTGGACAGCTTCGACGAGCACTTCAAAGGTGCACTTTCTGCAACAGCCAGGGTCTGCAATCCACAGTTGCACAGTCTGGCAGTCCCACAGTCTGGCAGTCCACTTTAACCCCAGGTCTTGCATCCCTAAACCCCAAAGTCCCTAAACCCTGCCAACAGGTACATTTGGGAAGTCCTACATACTGTCTTGGACGGCTTCGACCAGCACTTCAAAGGTGCGCTTACTGCAACAGCCAGGCTCTGCAATCTGCAGCACCACAGTCTGGCAGTCCTGCAGTCTGCCAGTCCCACAGTCTGGCAGTCCCACAGTCTGCCAGTCACAACAGCATAACTGCAGTCTGCCAGTCCCACAGTCTGGCCGTCTACACAGCAGTAAAGCTGCACTGCGCAGTTGGTAGTCTGGGCAGTGAACAGTGCTGTCTCCAAGCGGAGTCTGTCAGCAACCTGGCTGTGGTGGCGAGCGTGGAGTAGTCTGTGAGTGCTGAGGTTATTCATATTTACATAATAATATATTTCTTAGATAATAATATGATTTTTAGCAGCATAACTGCTGCAATACAACAGATAGACTCCATACACATGGAGGAGTGGCCTTGAACATAAATTGGTTTTTAGTTGGTTTGTATTTGTAAACCCTAACCCTAATAGCCCAGCCCCTCCCCTTCTCAAGGCTCAAGAACAAGGCATCGCAGCTCAAGGAGAAAGCGTACCGTGCGCTTTTTTTTTTTTGCCCCCCTCCTCTTCCCCAAGCCTGTTCCTTAGGTCGGACCCCGGCCCCAGGTGGTCGGCATAATTTAATAACATAAACCCTAAACCCTAACCCCTCCTTTCCCCAAGGCTCAAGATTTTGCAGCTCAATAAGGAGAAAATACACCATTCTGCTGTCACAACTGGTGGGGACTGTGGTTTCCGATTTCAGGGTCAGGGCTTAGCTCCACAATTAGGTAATTAGTTATTATTAAATATTTGCGAAACCACCGAATGATTTCAGGAACCGAATGTTCAATATGACAAATAATGTTCCAACTTTTGGGTTTGTGGTTTGGCTGACTGAATGTTGTAATGTTG